TTCCAAGAGCACAAGCAACACTTGTTTTTCTCCCTCAAAAATAAAAACACACTGAAACAGAAATGTATGTCCTTTATTAACAAATTTTCAAAATAAATCTGAAGAAAAAAACGTCTTTGGTGACACTATCTATAAAAACAACCTATCTCAGATGGTAAACCTATGATGTTATACAGGTTAATGAAGTAAACCAAATTATATGGCTTTTTAATTTCTCATTCTCTCTTTTCCTCTCATTCACACACTTGCTTTAGTTTTAATTGCACCATGTTGTCAATAGTCAAACAAAAGGGGGGAACACTTTAAAAAAGATGYGGCAGCATGGTGAGAACATTGGTAATGCATTAGAAAACTTTTCTCAAAAATGTACATTTTATACAAAATAAGGTTGTACTTTTTGTTTTTTGCTTTACATATGCCCACCTAAGAATTCCCATTCCAGGTTTCCAATCCCATTACCCACACACTATACAGATTTTCTCTCAAAATAAATACACAGGATTATGTACAAGGCTGCAAGACCCACTGGATCATCACTAATCTACTGCGAAACGGTCACTAAAAGAATCATGAAAAAGTGGAGGGGAGCACCCAAAAGCGTCTAATAAACGCCCTTAATTTTACTCTAATGTGGAAAGTGAACGTAAAGACAATCAAAATAGTGCTATAAAGGCCAGCTGGACTGAGGTTTAGCAAGGGGGAGGTGCACGTGGTTTGGAAAGGTGCTGTCCTGCCCGGTACGTGGGCACTGCTGGGCAGATGGGCACCGAGCTCCTCCTCTGAGCATGGCATGTCACTGCACAAAGGGTCCCAAGGCCTCCGTCAGGGCCACCCCCTGCAACAGCCCTTGGAAAAGGGCAGGAAGTTCCATCTCCAGGTGAGGAGGAACTTCTTTACTGTTAGGGTGACAGAGCCCTGGAACAGTCTGCCCAGGGAGGTTGTGGAGTCTCCTTCTCTGGAGGTCTCCAAACCTGCCTGGATGCYGCCCTGTGCCCCGTGCTCTGGGTGTCCCTGCTGGAGCAGGAAGGTTGGACTAGATGATCTCTAGAGGTCCCTTCCAACCTTCAACATTCTGTGATTCTGTGAAAAGCCACCAACCCGCCCAGGCAGCCCTTGCAGGAAGCGACCATCCATGGAGAAAAGGGTAAGACGGCACTTGATCAGGCTCTGTGTTATGATAACCATGGGGTATTTTTTGTTGGGTATGGGGAGAGGGAGAGCAAAGGAGGACACTGCGTTTTGTGCTAAGAAAGCTAATGGTTTTCAACAAAAAACAAACAAACAAACAAAAAAAACCCCAAACCAAACCACCTATGGAGTCTGCTTCTAGTTGGGTCTTTCATTGTTTCAGCATCAAATGATTATTTCCATTCTTGAATGACACGTTTTTGGTGAATGAGCTATTTTAAAAGGCGCTCACTGGTGAAAGATTAATTTCTTTGTCAAAGGCGGCTCTCAAAAGGAACTGAAATCTGAAATCGATCAAATCCATGATGTTTTCAAACAGAAAAGAAGATCAAAGTGCTGGGCATTAGCCATGCACCAGCACACTGCTGCGTTCATTATGAAATTGTTACACAGCTTAAACATTCACTTTTGGAAAAAGTTATGGTAATGTAATAATTAAAAGTTTCTCACAAAACAGAAAGAGGGCAAATAAAATCTCCTACAAGTAGAGCCAGGCRCTTTCTATCTTGGATGCTTGGCTCTACTTTTGTATCACATTTATGAAACCCTCCTCCAGCAATAGATCTCATCCAATTATAAGTGGGAAGGGTTTCCTTCCTTTTTTTAACAAATTCAATTAAAAATTTATCAGTTCTTCTGAACTCTAATACCTATTTTTATTCTGTTTTAATGGCATGGATCTATTCACATTCATCCATCCATCTCACCCCTGATTAAATTAAGGTCAGTAACCTTTACGAAAGGCCACATGCATAACACTCAGTCAAGTCATCAGGCATTCAAGTACCTGTAAAATAAAGGCTAACATAGCCTGCTGTTAATGAAAAATAAAATAAACCCTAAAAAGGAGCAACAAGGAATGAACCTTGCTTTAGCACCATCTGAATTAAGRGGGATAAAAAAGAAAAAAGACTAAAGACTCACTAACTCGCACACAGGATGTGATAAAAGGGTGATTTCATTCACTAGAGGAAGTGAACAGCCCCTTGCACCACTGATACACCCAGCAGGTTTGGAAACATGCCTGGTGTGCTTGGGAGCACTGGCTGACAGTATCTGCACCCTACACTGTAGACTGAGCTTCTAAACTGAGTCTGTGTCCAGCTCTTTCCCCAATCTCCATCCCATGGACACAGAGTTGTGGCCATTATGGCCACTAAGAACATTCCTTCCTGGAGAGGTGGCTACACCTTGGTAACGCACTCCAAAGAAAAATGCCTGCACCTACCCAAATCCATTCTGGAATTCAGCCTTTTATTGTTGCTTGCTTTATTAGTGACCTCTAAACAGAAGGAGCCTTGAGCTGTGGTCAGAGCCAGCTTTGCACAGTCTTTCAGCCACTCAAAAAATGCCCTTCACAGAATGCAAACAGCTTAAAAGCCTGGCCTTACTTGCTGCACTRCAACAATGGTGAGCCGTTTTATTAAAAATGTGTCCCCCCAAACCACGTTACATAAAGACCTAGCAGAACTGCAGTCCTTGTGCAGTCCAGAGTGAGCGACTGAGGGGTCCCCTCTCTCTCCCTGCCAGGCTCCTCTTGCTGCCAAGAGATCTACCAACTATTTCTTACAGCTTTGGACATCCTTGCAGACACATGTGCATGCTTGCCAGCCAGCCAGGACAGGAGGAAAGCAGGAGCTATGCCAGCCTCAACTACCATTGAACAACAACAACCAGAAGTCTAGGGACAAGACACATTCTAGGTCCTGAAATTGCTGCCTGACTTGCAAAAGGAGAAAGGGACATGGGAACTGCTGAGCAATCCAACCCATAAAACCAGATTCCTGGACTTTGCCTTTGCAACTACAGACCTGTCAGCTAAGAAAACTGCAGTTCAGCTTTTACGGGATTTGGGGAGTGGAATTAGCTGCTCACCAGAGCTGGCAGGAGAACATCCTGCTCCCCTTCCTTCCCTGTTCTTGTCTATTACATCCTTGCATCTTCTCACATCTCTGCCTATGCTGATCTAACTTGCTAAAGTGGCATAAAAAATATAGAAGATCACTGGACAGCTTTCTGCAACTTCAGTGAGCTAAATGGCTCACAGAAGTTTGTGATGGGCACCAGGAGTGGTCAAAGGTCTGAGATGAGACTGCGTGGCCAGGTCCTGGCATGAGCCAGAGAGCAACACAAGGCAGGGATGAAGCAGCACGAGTAGTACTCATCCTCTCAGCAGCAGTCRTGACCTAGAGTCTCTCTCACAGTCCATTTGGCAGATTCCTTTGAGGATTTGGTTCAGATTTAACACAACATGTCAGGAACGGGATGCTTCTGCCCTAACTCGCTATGCGCTCTCRAGTATCTCAACGCGTGTGAATAGCAAACCATTTTTTTGAGTCTTTATGTGTCAGTTCACATAAAAACAATTAGTAATCTGCACTTTGTACTTTCAAAGCCTCTTGCAGTTCAGGCAGTCTGATCTTCCATCAGCAGCAGTTACTTAGGCTTCACAGCATTCCCTCCATAACCAGGAACTATTATTTTTACAAATAAGGAAAACTTGAGGCATACCTCAGTTTGCAGAGATGCTTAAAGCTGTTTAATAAATCAGTGCCTGAAGCCAAAATTAAAATAACAATCCTGGTCCCAGCACTTTCTTATTACTCTAAGTATTCTTTACCTCTCATACTAGCTACAGAGGAATGAGGTATAGAAAGATTTGCTGGTCTTCTTTTGGGCATTAACACCAAACCTTCTCAAAGTAACACTGTTCTTACCATCGTTCTTGGCTGTTGTTACAGTCTACCCTGAAAGGTTTTTAAAGTGCTTTATTGTCTTAGTAAATTGGAATGGTAGCTTTCAAAGTCAAATCACCACTTCCGTTTTAATTCTTCAATTTAAAGAAAGAGCTAAATAAGCAAAGCACTAGAGAGAAATCAACAACTGCAATACTTCTGTTTAAAATACTTCCATCTGAAATGCTAAGACCACTTTTGAGCATCAGCAACATTTGTATTTCAGGGCAGACTTTTTGTCCAAATTACCCRGCCTCAAGTATATTTGGAAAAATTTGCTGTCCTCACTACCACATAATTGACAATGCAGTTTAATTCAGATGACCAAACTCCATGTGGAAATTTTTGTACCTATTGGAACRTCAGCAAGTTGGGAAAATAAATTAAAAAAAAATTCATATAAGATTTGATTTCATATAAGACAATTTGTTGCAGGCTGAATTCCTGTATTTCAAGCAGTAACATGTCTTCTCTTTTGCCCAGCAACCCTTTCCACCCCTATAGCCCTTCCAGCCCGGGTCGGTGCTCGGACATGGTGAGGGTGACTTGGCGCAAACCACTTGTGAGARAGTAAATGGCACTGAATTCTTGCTGTGCATGAAGCCCTTTCTGTTCTCCACGTTACTGGTTTATCCCTCAGCAATTATGTTCCTCTCCTCTTCAAAAACAAGGCTGACTGTATTAAAAAATAAGATCCTCAAAAAGAAGGATCTTAATTTGAGTTCTATGCATTTTGAGTTCTCTAAGTTTTCTGTCTATCCGATGGAATTTTGCTATATTGGCCACTATTAGCTTGTGGAAAACACAGGAAAAGAAATAAAGCCAGCAGCAAGTGAAAAGAACAGGACTTAGTTTCTGTCCTGCTTGTGCTCCATTTGTTTCTGGAACTGCTGCATTTTCTSCCTGTGAGATTCAAGCATTTAACTTTGCAGGGGAAAATGAATGAAAATCGCAATCAAATGCACGTGAGAAAGAAATGGCAGCTCTGAAATATTCACAACCAACACAATTTTGATTAAAGAAAGAACTCTGTTTTTAATAGTTTTTTTTTTTTTGATCATTAAAAAAGTTTAAACCTGCATAGCAATCATTTCAAAAATAATTATTTAATGTTCCATAATGAAACTGTACACAACCTAGTCTCGAGCGGCAGAAGCCGGTGAGGCGGCTCGAAGCAGTCCAGGGCAGAGCCCCCCGGGAGCCCCCYGCGTTTTGGGGACGCTCCCGTCCTCGCTACAGTCTGGCTCCTCGTGTCGCTGCGTGTGCGCTGGGCAGGGCCCACAGTCCGGGGCCCTCAGCCGGGGCTCCTCAGAGTCGTTCGATGTCTCGGTATTTCTTCCTCAGGATGGAGACCTGGTCTTTGAAGAGGACAGGGTCGAGCCTCATCTGTGAGTGGATCAGCGGCATGTAGCCAAACCAGCTGGCAAACGTGTTCATGCAGCTCTGCCGCTGCGCGAAGTGGTCGGGGTCGGCCCAGCGCGAAGCCCTCGAGGTCTGCGGGGGAGAGAGGCGGCCGTGAGCGCGGGCCGGGCCCGGAGAGAGCCCCACGGGAGCCCGGCTCCTTCCAGCACCGGGAATGCAGCGGTGCCCGCGGCCGGACCCAGTGGCTGCTGCTCCGCAAGCAGCAACGTGAGGAGGAGACCGGAGGCCTCAGGGGCCTCCCCTGGAGCACCAGCACCCCTAGGGGTTGGTTCTCCACACACCAGCTCACAATCCTCTCTTTCTAAACCCACAAACTACTTAGAAGAGAGGAGAACAAGCCATTAAACAAGTGAAAAAACAGGAATGAGAACAAGGGCACCATTTTCCACTAGAGGTACAAATCCTAGGAGCAGCTGCTGCCCATGGCCTTCAGCCACAAGAGGAAAAACACTGGGAAATTATTATGGTTTGTCAGCTCTGAAAAGCATTTCTGCAGTCTAGACTGGCAAAAATTGACACACAAGTAATTTCGAACTGCTGTAATTGAGTTCAGTGCCACCTCTTACACGCCTGAATTTACTCGTGTGTTTAAGTGTCCTGCACGTAACAAGCGGGAGGCTTCCAGAAACCAGACCAGCTAAGAGTAGCACACGAGACAGAACCATCTTAAGCGCGGAGAAAATAAGCTGAAATTGCAGAGACATCGCATGAAACTCTGCTGAGGAAAGGACCACAGGTTGTCTTTATGTAAAACACCGTGGCCTCACTTTCCAAGGGTCAGGGCAACTGTAATTCCTAAGAAAGTCCAGAGCAACTCAGCACCTTCAAAAAACCCAAGACCCTAAAGCTTTGAAACAGTTATTACTCTCTCTCTACCTAAGCTATCTGTATAAATACAATAAAAGTTAGAACTACCTTTTTTATGAATTTTATGATTTTTTATGAATTCTGAGACACTACTAAGTCGTTTTGTGCATGCATTCCTACAGAATTTTACTTGCATTTCCAGTCCATACTCTGAAAACAAATATAAACTCATAAGCTCCATGTGTTAATTAAAATGTGAGGAAACAGTCAGGGAATCGTCAAAGGAATTTGGTATCAGACTTGATCCTTATCCAAGGCTTGTTCAGTTTAGCTGAAGTGGTAGGTTATAATGTGCATTGATTCCAGKCTCTTGATTATACACAGCCACTAAAGAGCAAGCGAAATCTTGCTGCTAGAGGGTTACAGCAGACATGCCCATTTGCAGGGAATTTCCATATGACCATTAATCTCTGTCACTGCACTGAGGTTAGAATAATTTTCTATTTGTCTTTCAAGGAATTATGAGCACAGTCCACTGCATTTCCCAAAGCTGCAGGAACAACTTATCTTAAAGAGAGAGTTATAGTTCATGGTTAACTCAAGTCATCAGCTCTAAAAAAAGAAAAATGCATGTGCAGACTGTGCAAAACAGCCAAAGCACAACCCTGTGGACTAGCAAAGCTCAGACTGGCAGTGATAAGTAGCTTTGAATTGCACTTCATTGTTAGTATGAGGTCCCTTGGCTGCCCAGATGAGTCAGAATTGCTGAATATTATCTATAAATCAGATTAAAATGCAGTGTCAAACAGATGAGGGACTCTACAGGCTGATTTGGGCAGTCAAAGTTCCAGAATACGGGGTAATGCTAATAGAAGAAAATGTGATGAGAAAACAAAAGATCCATAACTTCTCCAGTCCCTTCTCCCAGGAACCCTGCTACAGGTTACAGTGCTGATCATGTACAGTTTGGCAGCACAGATGGGAGGCTGGTTAGGACCTGCAGCTTCTGTGCTCTTAATCTCATCACTCACTCACACAAGGCAGGAATAATCCCCCAAGACTGCCTGTTAAAAGGTGCATCCATGTCTGCATACTAAACCAAATATTTCACAGCAGCTAGTGAGAGATTATGACCAACGGATCAACTGCTCTTSTGAGAAAAAGTGTTTAAAAAACATAAATCACCTCTCTTGTTACAGTCTAATATCAGTCTAATGTTGTCTTAACAACAGCATAAACTTTTACATAGCACTGCTATGGCTCTGTGCATTCATTAATAATAATATTACATTCATTAGTAACAATAAAAAAATATGTTTTTTTGGAATTCTGCTTCTAGCATTGCACAACTGGGTCTTAGATCTAGAATATTTAATTAGTAAACTAAAGTCTAACCAAATTCAATCCCGAGAGTCAGCTCCCAGTCAGCAGATCGATGCCTCTGGGATCACCATGTGCAGTGATCCTAACTGGAAGACTACTGTGCACCAAGGAGTTGGTGCTCCACGTAGCAGCTGACCTGAGAAGGCACAGGCCCATGCTGTGCTGCTCAGATCCCTCAGCTGCAGGATAAATTTAGCCACCTAATTATACTGGAGGGGCCTGTAGGCAGCTCCTTCTCTTTATCTAAACACGAAGCAGCATGTTCCAATGTGAACATCCTTTTGCTTGGCAAATAGATCTTGTTTTCTTCTAAGAAAATCCCTTATGAGCTCTGAGACCAAAATGTGGGTGGGATGGGATTTGCAAAGCATCATGCCCTGACTGAGAGGTCCATCTGCTGCTGTATCATCCTGGAGTTCTCAGCACCAGAAGGAGAATAAGATTTAATCTTTTTGTTTTCCCACTCTTATCTTTGCATATTCTGATTACACATTGTATTATATTTAAAGATTCAAATAATTGTTCTTTCTTACTGAGATCTAGAAAAATCTTGTACCTRCCAGGTACACATCATCTTAATATAATATGAGAAGACTATGAAGAGAAGTTGTCATATGTATAAATCGTTGCTGTTTCTTTACTTAGAGTTTTTCTTTCATTATAATAAGCCTAGGTAAAGTCTATTTACAGTTCTGTTAAATTAAAAACTGTAAGAAATAATAACAGAATTGAATTCATTCCRTAAGTCTAAACCTGGAAGTCAAAAAGATGCATTAACAACACAGCTCAGCAGCTAAAACACKCTGTGAATACATACCTGTCCCATCATGGTCTCCTTATACTGCTTTTTCTGTGTTACTTTGATTGGAGGCAATTTTGTCACAGCTGACACCAAAAAATTCATTAGAATGTCCTCACAGTTGGCCAGTTGGTCCACCATATTCTTTAGGCTGGCAGGCAGGTAATGAGTGTACAGGTAGTGATAATATCTGGGAAAGCAACAGCAGGGTTATTTAAACAAGTCACCTGGTTTTCAGGGACTATAAACTCCAAAGAATTCCTGTCCCAACTGAGACACAAATCTTGCATGCAAGTCTGGACACACCAGATCCCTCCTTTGGTCTTAGCCTCCAGCAGAAGGGAGGAAAAATCACTATCTCGTCAAGGCAATAAATAATGTTATTGGATATTGCCTGGCTTTTTAATTGAATTGAAAGAAACAACACGGACTTAAGTGTATGATAATGGAGAWGTAGGAAACAGAATTCTTTGTGATGTGTTGCGATAGTCAATATTGATGGATCTATTTTCTACTACTTCAAAAATGTGTCAAACTGCAYAGAACTCTATTGAACTGGCCTACTGTGGTCCTTCTTGTTCAAATTAGTCTCCTCTGGGTGTACATCACCCCCTTCTTTTCCTTTATGAGGAAGAGCATGAGGTGCTGCAGAACATGTTGACCTTCTCCTAGCGTCCGGAGTCTCTCCAGGCTGGTGGAKCCCGGACAGGAGGCACTGGTCTGCTGCACGGCTCTGCTGTGTGCCCACTGCACCACATTGCTAGAGCAGCCAGAAGATTTGCAGGCTGAGCTGTCAGCCAACACACACCCAGAGCTGGGCTGCAAGTAGCCTCCTTTCTGCTGCGCTACGGGCCATGCAGCCGAGCAGCTTAATGAATTCGGGAACTCTTTGAAGTGTGTAATTCCTGATGTTAAAAAGAGCAGTCCGACTGCCTCAAAATACAAGTGACTTCAAAGAGACCCAACAAGCGCAGTAATGATTACCAGATCCCCAGAGCTAAACCCAGAGCTTAAATTATTACCCCATAAAAAGTAGACCCATTTATTATCTTTCCGATTTTTTCCCCTCCCCGGAAGAATGCTCTTTATTCCCCCCTATGCTATTTTGTTTAAGACAAAAGGAAGACAGCAGATGCTCTGGGTTCTTACTTGTGGTAAATAGCAGCTCCTGTCAATACCATGGAATAGTCATTCGTCCACTTGGAGGTATAGCCCCATCTCTCCTTAGTGTTGTCCCAGAAGTGACTGCGAGCAGGGTACCCTACAATCCTATCTGGAAAACTCTGCCAAACTGTAAAGGCAAAATCCACCTGCAGACAAAGGCAAAGGCCAAATGAACAGTCAAATTCTTTCAACAAACGTCAACAAAACAAAATATTACCTTGCCATTAATTCATAATTCAGGTTCTTGAAACTGTTGCAAAACATTAATTCTATGTATTCATCAGCAAATTAAACTGACTGCTTGACATTTTGCCCTAYAATTATGCACATTTTAATGGTTCCTCTTAAAGGGAGTCTAGAGCTTCACAGCATTACATTAACATTTCCAAGCTTGCCCTTTACATATCAAACATTTTCAGGTTACAGAAAGAATAGGTGTAGAGGCATGTATGCACAGTTAGCTGCACCACAGTGGTAACAGCCATGTGGTAAACTGAACCCTTGCCCATCTTCATGCATCTCACCTACTGTTTCAGTCGTGTCAACATAAAGCTCTCAAAATGAGGAGTCAAACACTTCAAATTATAAGGGTGTAAAACAAGTAATCAGCATGCAGTTCTTTTATATTTTCCTTCTGTTCCAAGCCTTTGAGGTACATGCATTTCATGTTTTTAAGACTGTCTATATGGCCTAGAGGGTTAAATGCATGTCAAAAAAAAAAAAAAAAAAAAGAGGAAGACAACATTCCCATGTAGTATTTATATAGCTTTAGGAGCTTGTGCTTTAAGAAAAACACTTGTATAAACCACAAGAAGATTTTCATCTCACTGTAATTACTTTAGCAACTCAAATCTCTGAGGATTGAGAAGGTGAGAAGACATTGCTATCCATCAAACAACCTTTAGAGACAACAGGAAAGGAATGATAGGGGCGGTTTACAGCAGACGTATAGGCAATGGATTTGAACGGAGTTTGATAAAAATACATATGGAAAGTTTTTGCTTTTTTCTTTTTAAACCTATGTGAAGCTTTTTAACAGTTTCTTCATTTCAATTTATGTTTTGTAACTCAAACCTGCCCCAATTTTAGAAACAATTAAAGACAATTCCACTTGCCCCATGAACACCCTGCAAACACGGGTTTCATCCCTACCGTGCATACAATGTTCTTTATCTGTACCAAAGGGACTAAAGGCTTGCTCAAAAATACTTGAAAAACTTTCCAAGAATACAGCCTCAGTTAGGGGCTGAGAGGTTAAATAAAGAATAGCAGCTATGAAAACAGCTACATTTCGTGTGATTATTGTCAGGCTTCTCTCATTTACAAGTGTTTTTATGAAACAGAAGAGTCGCACATGTACTGGAACACAAAGTTAGGGACTGATTCTTTTCTTTCAAGTTGTTTCAAGGAATCTGAGGCCAAATAGACAATGTGCACAAACTAGTTATCGTTGTGATAGTTCTGATCTCCTCCAAATCAATACCACATGAAAGCACTAGAGGTTTCCTCTCTGCAAAGGCCTTTCTCATAAAACCTGACATCTGTTTTCTTTAGAGAAGTTGGACAATCTCAAACTAAAATAAACAGCAAGGCAGTTACATCCAGACTCCTCACTTTAACATTTAAATACCTATCCTTGTACCAGTGGGAGGCACTGAAACAACTACCCTAAGGGAAATCTCCCTTTACAAGAAAAAATCCCAGGTTCTTGTCCTATGTAATTTTCAGCAGCGTTAACACTCAGCTGATCAGCAGGAAAATGCAGCAAGCCTCTTAAATCCCTGTATCATTTCTAACCCATGCTGATTTCTAATTACTTTCCATACAAACATCCTGGTCGGCGTGTGGCAGAGCTCTATGGGCTGTTCCTCACCTCAGGAGGGGGAATGAGGCATCAATCCCTTGGGAAAAGAAACCTTTTACTAACCCTAGAGCTGCACAGAGTGGAAGACGTGTCTGATAAGAGCTCCTCTACCTCAGAACACAGTCATGATTGACCATGTTTCAGAATTGCCTTTCCTGGGCTTCTCCATGTGACTCCAAGCTAGTTCCAAGCTTCACACCAAGCATCTCCCATGTTTGAGACACGCTCTTTGGCTACACAAGCCATATGACTAGGGAAGCAAAGTAAGAGAAAAGCTCCAATTCTCCATAGTACTTCACTGACCTGGGCATCCAGGCACAGGAGTACTGAAGCTAAAAGGCCTGTGCTAACCAGAGAGGCAGSCCAGTTGCTTCTCTTAGCAGCCCAGGCAGCACGAGGCTTGCAGAGCTAATACCMACACTGCGAACATGGAATATCAGCAGCAAGCAGCCCACACAAGGGGAAAAGCCACAAAGAAATGTGGCCATCATTTCACAACAAATATTTGTATTTTAGAATGTTTAGCATAAAACACGGCCAAGTTGAATGAGAAACTTTATTTATTTAACATGCATTCCAGAAGCCTGACTGACTCCAAAGTTTGGATGATGGCTAAATATCAGGCAAAACAAAACAAACCTGCAAATCCTCATGGGATCAACCAGCTACATTGCTGTAAATACCACCACCACATAGTGATATCCCTGACAGGTCTACCAGGTCCCTCACATCAGTTGAGACATTTATTCCTCATCCTGAAGAGCAACCTCCCTAGGAATACCAGACTCAGGATAAACGCCCTTTATTTGGGGATTCTTTTTTATTTTTTTTTTGTCTGTGCAGGACTTGGCACACAAGTGATTTGGGAGTGGTTGTGCTCTTCCTCACCTAGCAGGAAGCATTAAGGTATAAGCTTGAAATCAAACAGATTCAATGCCAAAGGCTTCTTCCATCTGTGCAACAGRAAAGGGCTACAGAGGCTCCTCCTGGAGCAGACTGACCAAAGCACAACAAATCTCATCCATTTACAACAAATTCAGTGAGACCTTCGGGTTTATAGCAGTGACTAATGGCTAATGTTAGATATTCCTTCAACCAACAAATAAGCAGTAACAGCATGAGCGAAAAGCCCACATCATTGACAAGAAAGCAGTTTTATGAAGCTGGATTGGGAAGAAGGGAATGAACATAAACTTAAAGAAACGGGAAAGCATAAAAGAAAACTGAGTTTTTCAAGCTATTCCCTGACCATCATTAATAATGTATTTCCCAAATATTGCACTCTATATAAACTGTCATCAATTTCTCCCATGGTTCTCAGGAAGTGGTTCCAGAAATCAATACTCATCCCAGTTGTAAAAATTGGTTTTCTACAGTATCTTTCTTTTCTYAGTGCAGTCTCGCTCTTGGCACAAATATTCCAAGAGCTGAACRAGCAAGGCTCTCCAGGTCTATGGGATGATACAAGAGCCAAAGAGAGAGCATCCTTAGGGAAAATCAGAAATCCTACCTTAGGGGGAAACACTGTCTTGTGGAGTGGCAGCAACCCCTGCTGACACTCCTTCCTTGCCCACCCACGTCCCTGCTGGTAACGCGTGAGGAAAAAGAGCTACCCCAACGAGCCAAGTGAGAAGGGAGCATTAAAGCAGACGGCTCTTGGCTGCCTACACCCGCCTGCAGCTAGGTGACTAAAATAATAAGGAGCGGAAGGACCATATGCTAATGATGAGCCAATTAACCAGGGCAGAAGCTCCTGTGACGACAGGCCGTGGCAGTGTGGCACTCTGAATCTGAGGAGCGTGGCAGGGAGCACTTGAGCACTTGTTTGCCACGAGCAGAGCCCCTCTGCTGTGCTCAGGACCAGAGAGCAGAGCCCCTTACCTCGGTGGTGGAGAGCACGGTGTCCTCATCCAGGCTTAGCACCGCATCCGTAACTATGTTGTCGTAGGGGAGGAAGCGACTGCTCATAACCTGTGGGAATCCAGAAACGGGGGGGAAAAATCACTTGAAAGGCTCATTTTCAAGGGAAATAGTCTTTTGTTCATTCTCATTTCCTTTCCTCTGAGGTGCAGAGCATGTCCCTAGCTGAAGGAAAGGATCCCTCAGCTCGGGTACGAGAAACCATCATTTTCATCACCCCAGAAGTCAACCTACATCTTGTATCCAAGGGATTGATTTCTGAGGAGAGCCCCTGCTTTGCAGTGGGCCTCCTTCTTTACATGATAAACCATAACTGTGCCCACCGATACCTCGATGTACTCACAGTTTATTTGGTGAGGATTTTCTCAGGTAGCTCAGATTGTCCCCCTGCCCTCCTACAGGGGGTTAGGATCAAAGATAATGAAGTGCTGGGAAGCACTTTGTAGCATCCCTAAGGTTACACAGATGGGAAACTGATGAGTCCAGGACGTGCGGGCCTCTGCCTATTGATGGAAGTTATGTTGCTAAAACAAAAAGCTACATCTTGGCTCTGTGCACGGCTCTGCTATCGACAGGGCTGCTGTCAAACAGAGCAGCTTCTCCCACCAGAAAAGGAGAATAAGCCGAAGAACATGAGGGAGCTGTGTCAGGAATTATGCTGCTGTTGCTGCRTCATTTTTAAAGTCACATTCTTAAGTGACATCATGACATGCATGTGAAATCTATATGCACAAGCTTATAAAAATTATGCCATGATAGTTCTCAAAGCAGTAAGAAATACAGAAGAGAAGGCAATCAAAGAGGTAACAACGAGCAATGGGAATCCACATGGTTTCTCTACCAGACTAATTTGCACCTTTGGAGGACTGATAAATAGAAATAAGGAAACAACACTGTTTTCCCCTCCCTCACTAGCTAGGAAAATAGCCCGACTAGTTAGTAGACTCTTGGCTTGTGTATACACAGTGGGTAGCTACCTATGTTTATCTTTTGACAGAAAGCTGTAGAGGGTGTCACTATTATTCTTTAAAGACATTCGTCCAATTTATTATGCCAAGAAAACGCTAAAAAATCAGGCCATATAAGAGGAAATCACTGTGGAAACAGGGAGAAGGGATCTATGCCCTGAGGAAGTTTTGTCTTTTACACTCATTTGGTTCAGTGTGTCCTTCTGGAGAGCATCTCTTTATTGCTGTGAGAGAGAGGCCYTGGATGTGAGAAAACGAGACCTGGCAGGAGCTGAAGGTTGAGCTTTGCTTGACTCTCAGGACTGCAGCTCCCATCCTAGCTCTTTCACAGACTGTAAAATACCACTCCCCATGGCTTTGTTTTTGTTATTAAAGATCCCTGTTGTAAAATGGGTGTGATAACATATCTTGATTTCATGGGGAGACAGTGAAGATTAGGCAAAGAGAGACCTCTGTGATCCCCTGCACAGAGTAACTGTCTGCCAATATGCTCCGGCCAATCCTGAGTATGAAAAGCAGCTCCTTTGCACAACCTTTGCATTGTGCTGCTCTGGCTCTGCAAGCCTTGTCCAAACAAACAGCCTTTCTGCACAGGAAGCCGTTTGGCATACGCTGGGATATTAGAGAAGAGACTGTCCACTATAAACACACCTTTGTGTACTCAGGAGACTCATTTGTAATCTAAACAGCATCTGGGCCAATTTCTACGTACTCTGTCGAACTGGTCAAAGATTTTCTCCTCTATGTCACCTCTGCAAGCTTTCCAAAAAAGACAGAAAAAAAAATCCCTACAATGTCCCAAAAGCTCAGAAATTACTAGAGTCTTTCTCAACCACAGCTCTCCTAATACTGTTTACATGGCTAACTAAGGCAAGAGCTACTAGCTGCCAACTTAGCAGGGCTCTGGCTTTTCCCTGTTAAGTCAGCTGGGGGAAAAGAACAAAGAGAGGGCTGTAAATTCCAAATAGGACTGTACTGCCCAGCAGCTAGAAAAGAGACAGAGAGAATGAGAGAGAGAATGAGAGAGAGAAAGAGAAAGGGAGAAAGGGGGAGAGGGAGAGAGAGAGAGAAAGAAAGAAAGAGAGAGAGAGAGAGAAAGAAAGAATCTTGCATCTGACTGCTCAGACTGAATGAATTCAGTTACATAATTACTATGCACTTGCAGATAGAGTGAAATCTGCAAAGGTGGGGTCAACATTACCTGTTCTTGGGGGCACCCTTCAAAATTGAGTCTCACCTGTCAATCTCAGACTCACAGCATGAATTGCCAGCCTGACGATCACTGAGAGCACAAACCTCATGCATCAAACACAAATTCATGATCAAGGTGATACAAAGGGCCACAAAAAGAAAGGGAAGTTGTAAAATAAATTCTGGTGTGTGTCCTGTCTCCTAGCCCCCTGCAGAATATACAGAATATATGTAATCTTTTATGATGCTCCTCTCCACCTACCTTGCTCTCTCCTTCAATGACTATGACAGGCACAGAAGTGGCAGGCCAGCGGTGTTTGGCTGGGAGGGGTTTATCACAATTCCATAAAACAATAATCTGGAAAAGAACATTGGACCATGATCAGAGGCCTTCGTGGCAAAGCAGTGCAAACTCTAAGGACTCAATCTCCAGACAGAAATGTCAAATTCAAGTTGGGGATTTCAAAATCAACAGCATGATACMATCTGTATAAAAATACCACTTCTGATGGTAATTTCACCCATGCTGGCTGTATACAATATACATCTTCTAAATCAAACGTAGGCTGGACAGCAGCTCAGGAAGTCTGTAGCCCACAAGGATGTCACTGATTTACTTTGGCACTCATTAAAGGTTACAGCACTTGTGACTCTCTGCTGTAAGAGGGTGCTCCTACTGAACTCCCTGGAGGTTGTTTGAGTTAAGTCAAAATCCTGGCCCCAGTAAGACTGGGAGGACAGGAGGAGGAAGGAAGGTCATGCAGAGGCCCTCRAGGCACAGACACTCCCTGTCTGCAGCACATGCAATCCTGAGCCTTAAAGTGCAGCTGCTGTTCTACCTGCCTCATGAAACAAATCCAAGGGGCTTAGTTGCTGTCTCTGCTGCCCTCACACTGTACTCACAATCTGTTATTTTCCACACACACAGACCACAGGYAGTAGATATCTCAGAGAAAAGAGACATCAGAAGGTAAACAGGGGTGGAAACTAGAGTGAGAAGATTTGAAGTCCACGGTCTCTTCACTTTTGGGATAGTACTTTTGTCTCCAGTGTGATTGACACATAATAAATAGTGTTGCTTACCTGTGCACAGTACTGGGACTTGGCTACAGCAACCAGGAGTTTCAGCACAGGCTGAGATTGGGAAACCAAGGGAGTTACTGCATGGATTACGGCAGTGAATGTGGGAAGAGGCTTCAGACCTGAAGCAAAGAGATATAAGTTCAGTAAAGGCAAAACTGCCACATATAAGTAGATATTAAAGAACTCTGAGATGGAAAAATAATCTATACTGAATGAAAACTAGTTTGTTCAGCCAAATTTCTTTCCTCACACTGGCTCTGCTTCTCTTCCAGGCTCTACAGATATCTCTAAAGTTTCCAAAAGTTTCTTGAGTTTCCTCAGTCTCATCGCTCCCTCTGCCAGATTTTAATTCTTTCTTGCTGGATCTCCATCAACACGCATTTTCAGTTACCTTCTGAGCTGGTAATTCTGCTTGCATCCTTGTCTTCTTTTCTGATATTTTTGTCTCAATATGTTTTCCTTTTCTGCCTAAAATAATACTTCCCACTTGCTTATACCCTTCATAACTGCTTTCAGTCTTAGCTACATTCATCTGTGTGGRGTCACAGTCATTTTTCATCAAAATTCCCACAGAACCCTTTTTCTCCTTCTTTAACATGGTGACTGTTATTTTTTAGCAGGAGGGCAGTACATATCCACACAAGTGGGATGGTAAAGGCTGTGCCAAAAGTGGAAGCAGTCTGGTAAGCAGGAACACTTGAGCCTGCAAGGCACATGTCCTTGCAGAATGCATCATTTTGTCTCTGCTTCAGGAAGAAGCTACGRACCTATGTCCTGGTCAGTCCTTCTAGCAGGACTCATATGAAGACACACAGGATGGGTAATAAATCCATAACAAAAACCCACTGCTAACAAGTGTCATGACTAAACTACTCCTTATTTTCCAAGCATGAATTAAAAAGAAAAAGGCAAAAAACTATTTCTTTGATGTCCTCTTGGGCCACAAACACGTSTGCAACTCAGGCACTGGTTACTGATAACTGAAAACTACGAAGGAGAACAGATTTTTTTCAAACAGCCTTCGCAAGTGAGAAGCACATGATGCACATTGATGAGTTAGAGACAACCAGGTCTACAGTGAGCAAGGAAAGCGAAGAACACGATAAACCAAAGGTTCATCATTCATTGACCAGAAATGAACGGTAAATCATTTGGCCTGTGCCACAGAGACCCACAGCACACCAAATACTGTGGGAGTGCAGCAAGGATTCACTCACCGAGATTAGCATAGTAGTAAGGAAAGTCTCCCAGATATGAGGAATACTGTGGCAGTACAAATAACCCTCCAGGATGTTTGTTCCATATTAAGCTGTTACGTGATATGTGCTTAAATATTCTGTCCTGAATAATCTGGAAAACAAAAGAGGAAAGGATTTTTGAATAGACTGTAGTAGCCACTGGTTGAAGTGGCACAGACTCCAGCTCACCGGAATCATCACCCATTTTGCAAAAAGCAGCWACACCCAAATCACCAGGCATTCCTGTTTAATCTCTCCTAAAATGACACTGACCCTGTACACTTCAACGCCACTTCAGCAGCTCAGGCTTTGTGTAATAGGYTTCAAAGCACCTCATGAGTCTCTGTGGACATGTGGACCTTGCACTTCATTGCATTTTACACTTAAAGTCAAACATTTTGCCTTTTAGAATAACTTAAGAATTGTAATTCGGATTAGTTCATTGACAGCTGTATTGCCCAGAACTCTTAAGACAATGATTTGAGCATGGAATTACAAAGGTGGTGGTTGGGGGGGGGGAGATAACAAGAGTATTAAAAAACATAAAGACTTTCAGCAGATTAGTATGCACTAATTATTCATTCTCGCTTAATCGTAATGGGTTATTAGCATTCAGATACATCACTGATTCCATGTCTTAGTTCCTGTTGGATGAAATACAAAAAAAGACCTTTTGGCAACAATGATCTATGTATCTATGTTCGTAGAGGGCCACAAACATGGATTCATAGGTTTTTAAGACCAGAATAGATTCTCAGGTCATCTATTTTGTCATCTGGAATCCCACAAGCCACAAAAAAAAGAAAAAAAAAACAAAAGAGCTGCACACTGATGTGTATTTATGAAACTAGTTACAGTTACTTCAGATCAGCTGTCATTATGTATACGTTTGTACATCAGTGGGAGCTTTTTTTAAACTTGAAAAGGCCTAACAAAATTCAAGGGCAGAAAGCTAAAACTGGACAAACAGCCTGCAATCAGAGGCAGCTTTCTAAGTGTGAAGGTGATGGAAACAACACCAGTTAATCCAGAGGCCAGGTCCCAGTGCTTGGTTCCCTCAAGCATCGTTTAAGGGCTGGGTTTTCAGAGAGCTGCATTTGCCTGGGGAGCCGAGGAAAAGCAAAGCTCTCCACAGCAGTGGATCGCAGAGCATCCTTGTGGATCAGTTTTCCTTGGGAAGCTCTGGGGAATTGCACTGCCCCTGTCACTTAGAGCCCTTCACGCTGGAGGCAGAAGTCTTGAGGCTAGGAAGGATCTTCCTCCCACCAGTGAGCCTGTGATACCCGTGGGTGGGTATGAGCACCCTGGGTTCTCCTCATGTTTTCAGTCTAAACATGAATGTATCAGGGTGAAACTTGATAACTTTGAAGTCAGATTAGATCTGATCTCTAGCTCATTCTGCCCTTAAAAACTGCAGAACTACAGAAGGAATATGCCCTCACAGTAGGAAAACCAAAAGCCAGCAAAAAGTCCCCAAATAGCAAAACTCAGACAAGGGCAGCTGCTGGAGTCCAAGCCAGCCTGGAAGAGCTACAARCAGCTGAGGTCAAGGACATTCGGTCAATACATTACAGGAATAAATGTTGTCACAACCACTGGTTTTCCTGATATTTCTGACTGTTGTGAGAAAAATGTATTAAAATACAAGATACCATGTGCTAGTGAATCCAGAACTAGTGGCCATGTGTAGCTGCGAACATGGGGGAAAYGGGAAGTGCTTTCATGTTTCTGTTAATTTAAGCCTGCAGCCATAAACCATAGCTAAGATGCAGTCATTTTCTCGCCTTTCTAACCCTTATATAATGTTAGATTAATAACAGTTGTGGCTGCATTTCCATCACTGATAAGAGCATATCTGACTACTTCTGTTTGGAAAGTTAAGTGTGTCGCTTGTCACATCTCCTGTATGGTAGCAGTAGAGAAGAAAAAAGAGGAAGAGCAAAGAAAGAGAAAGACAAAGAGAAAGAGAAGGAGAAGGAGGAAGAAAGAGAAAAAAAAAGAGAGAGAAGGAGAAGGAGAAGGAGAAGGAGAAGGAGAAGGAGAAGGAGAAGGAGAAGGAGAAGGAGAAGGAGAAGGAGAAGGAGAAGGAGAAGGAGAANAGGAGAAGGAGAAGGAGAAGGAGAAGGAGAAGGAGAAGGAGAAGGAGAAGGAGAAGGAGAAGGAGAAGGAGAAGGAGAAGGAGAAGGAGAAGGAGGAGAGAAAAAAAGAAAGGGAGAGAAAGAGAGGGAGAAGGAGCGAGAAAGAAAGAAAAAGGAAGAGAGAGAGAACAGATGACTGTTGTTCTTCTATCTGCAAGTTATGTCCCTAAATAAAGACAGAACCTAGAAAGTCCATATTTTCGAGTGTTTATCACACAGCCTAAATATTACAGCTCTTTCCTCCTGTTTTCTCAGCACTGGGGCACAGTCAGAGAGGGAGAGGCCTGCGAATTTACACGGTCAGGAGGTTTTCACAGGCGCAGGGCTCTGCACGGCGCTGGGAGCCCACAAGGCTGCAGGGGCAACACGTGGCTGCGGCTCAGCGGGGCCCGGGGCAGCCCCGACGCCCCGCGACGAGGCGGCCGTGGCTGCACGGCAGGCACACAAACCTCCCCCGGCGCCCACGCACCCGGCTGGGGAGCTGACCCACGCAGCAAGTCACCGTTAGCCAACGGCACATTAATTTATTGTGCTCCTGGGCAACGTAAGAAATCTAGCTGTCCATAATGACAGAGGGGAGGAAAGACAGGCTGGAAGAGAGAGAGCAGGGAAGGATAAAAAAGATGACACGGAGGACTAATCAATTCAAATTGCAAGTGTGTAACATTACACATGCTGCAGAGGCAGACAGCAGCTCTACAGCATCTCCACCGATGAGGCAACAGGGAAGTTTAATGACAGAAAGCAGAGAAAGAAGGGGTTAGGAGCTCTGACTGCATCTCCCTTTCTTTTTGAAATTCATCAATGACATAACCTCCTCACATGTTACGTTTGCCTTTAAAAAGTCCATAAGAAGCAGCCCTAATCATTGCTMCTTCCCAGTACGCTCCAGTGAGGCACCAAGCATCTCTTGCCGTCCTTCGTACTTTCCTTCTGCACTCCTCTTTCCGAGGTGAAGACTGAGCATCCTGCACAGGGATTTAGGCAACTTTGGGTTGTTTTTACCACAGACCCAAATGGAAAACGGAGAGTATGTTGGGGTGTGTGTCGGGAAGCTGTTTTCTGCAGCCCAGTGCTCTCTGGATCCCACTTGCCAGCCTGTGGCCTAACCAAAAGGCCCTAAACCAAAGCCCACGTCCCAGGCAGTTCCTCAGACCAACCAGACAGGGCTCCTGGTCAAAAGTTCCCATCCTTCCATTCAGGCAACGAGCTGCTCAGACTAGGCCCCTGAATGCCCTGGAAAAGGATTTTATCTTCTGACTTGATGCTATAACAGGTATTCAAGATAAAAGTGAGGGGAGAGACATGAAATCTTCACAGCAACYTGAGCTGGTGAAGGATTTTTCTGTACTAACACCCTCATAGCTGGACAAGTCACAGCGCTGCAGTCAGAAGACAGCTTGATGTCTTGATTCTGATGATATTTTGCACTGTGAGGACACGGTGATACTACAGTGTTACAACAGAATATGGATAAAATTCACCAGAAAAATAGTCCTGCTGGGAATTTACTTTTAAGGAGGATATGCTGCTAACAGGCTTCTGACATCAAAAACCTCTCAACTCAACTCAACATCAAAAAACTCTCAACTGTTTTATTTAATTCTTAAGAAAAGTGACTCGAGTGAGTCGAAATGTCAAATAAATAACTGTTTATATGAACAGATTCCCTCTTAATCATCTGACCAATATTGAGAGCCTTGAGTTAAGAAAAAAAGAAAACCCTCAAAACAAAACCACCCCCACAAACGAACAAAAGCCCAGAACACAACTCCAGTAACAAGCCTGCATTCCTTGGTTGGTTTCATGAAAACTTCCATGACATTTAGGATATTTTGTTTTCTCATCAACTTTTCCTCTCCTAGTGGAAACTGCAGCTTCCTCATTGCTTAGCTGGTTTAAGCTTTATTTCAGGTTTTGCTGCCCTGTYCCCTTACTGTTGATGGCCACATGGGCCACCAGAGCCCAGTGAAGATGAGCCCACTTGTGCTGGAGCTCAGTGTGACACCAGGCCTTGGGAATGGCAGGTAACATCCACACGGATGGCCYCAGGACAGCAAGGAGCTGGGCTGTCCTCTTCTTTTTGCCTTCCCTAATGATAAGGGGGAAGGGATGCCCATGGTGTGAGGCACTGGGCACTTCTCCAAGGGCACTTCTACAGGAATAAAACAGACCTGCGGAGGGCAAGCCCTGGTCCAGGCTCTCCAGATCAGTTAGTCTGATTCTGCCACGGTTGGAGCTCTGATAATCAGTGCTGCCTCCTCAGTGCTCACGGAGAGCCTGAGGATACAGAGCAGTTCCCAACAGGCCAGAGGGATGGGGCCATCCTCCTTGCAGAGGGGTGGGCAGCACTGCACGAGGCGAGGACCACGATGGCAGCAGCTTTGAAAACGCTCTCTGGCTGCTGCTTTTCCTCACTAGCACAGACAAAACCTGAAGGACTATGTGGGAGCAGCTGGAGGTAGAGCAGCCATGGGCAAGCTGCACTGCAGGCCAGCACGGGGGCTGCAGCTCCCATTTGCAGCTCTCAGGGCAAAGCAGGCACAGCAGGCGACACGGCGCTTTGCAACTGTGCACAAAGGCAGATGCAATTGCAGAAGCATTAGCATAAGACGAATACATTTGCACCTACAAAGTGAGGCACTTACGATGGTAAAAGTGTGTCAAAAATTCATGTGCAAAATTGCAGAACAATTAGAAGAGAAACCTGCTTTTGAAATTGTAGCCTGGGCCCTACTTCTAAAGAGTCTTTCATCTCTCCTCTGTCACTGAATTCAGAAAAGATTCTCTCCACATTTGAGATCATCTGTCTCACTGCTGAACAGAAGCCTAATTATGATTAATTCTTAATATTTCATAGGGATGATCGGGACTTTCCCTTACCCTATATGTAAAGACAGCACTAGTGATTTACCAGTTCCTCTTTTGCTTTGGCCAGACCAATAGCCCCATCAAAGGGCATCAAAATGCTAAGGAACGGTAGAAAAGGAGGTTTAAAGTAATATTTTTCCCCAAATAAATTCTAGAAAGGTTTCTTACAGAATACTATTCATTACCACTGACAAGAATAGTGATTCATAACCCATAAAGCCTTGTGAAGGCAAGATCACACATGACAACTTTTCCACATGTCAGATAGCTCCCATTTTTCACCAGGTCCATCTTCTAACATGGATTCCAATAATGAGAAAAGTATTTCTTTAGGAGAGAAAAGCTATCAAGATGTCACTTATTTTTTTTCCAGCGCCCAATCCCTCATCATGAAAGCCAAGGTCTGACCCTGGCTGAGTGCAGGATGGGCTGGACAGATCAGGAAACCCAGGTAACTTTTACTCACCTCTAGTGTAGTCAATACAATCTTCTCAACTGAAGAAAAATAAGCCTCCCACAAGAACTGTGTCTGCTGTCTAAGTGCTAGGATTTTATCCTGATGGATAGACCTGATTGTAGAAGGAATCTGCAACACAAGATGCAATATAGTCATTAGCTCCAGAAAACACTGCAACCTCATCAACCAAATTAATACCAAGCCGCATGGATTGAGCTCCTCAGCATTCCCMTCCGCCAGCAGGAAAAGCCCTGACGGGAAGGGAATTACACACCATCTTTTAGGATCTCTGGTACCAGCCAACCACAGAATATAAGGAAATTTTTCTTTTCTTTTAGGTTTTAGTTGTTTCTATGGCAGCAAAAGCTGCCTCTCCCTTGCTCCTCTCCCACAGGCGGTGACAGGGCACAGCAAGGAGCTCCTCAATAAACCCCTCACGCACAGAGCTTTTCATGGACCAGCAGTTTAACAAACCRGTACCTGCAGGACTTGAGAGACCAACAATAATCTCCACTCTCTAAGTATATTACAGGGATGTGGGATTGCATTTACCACAGCATGGCACATTAAGTGCCCCRAGGTGAACACAGCAACATCCGAAGCACAGCTCCATTTTTGGGGAGCCTGCGGATCTAACCGCATTTTACTAATTACTGTGAGTGGCAGGAACGGTGCCTCCCACCACACCTGCTATTCCCAAGGGAGARCAAGGCTCCTTTCTCCCTCTCTCCATTAAAGCAACTCTCTAATTCTGGAGTCAGTTGYCTTGCCAGTGAAAACCAAGTAGCCCCATGCAACACTGGCTGACTGAAAACCTCGCTGTGTAAGGCCCACTGACAACACCAGAAAGGCATCTGGGCAATTTCTCCCATTTATGTTCATTTATTCTAGGAATGAGGAGCTGTGTTTTTGCACCTCCTTTTTGGGGATTTCAAATGAGGCCACCTCGTTCTCAGGCACTCATTTCTCGCCAATCTTACACCTCACTTGCTAGCTGTGAAATCAAAGCCCTTTCCTGTGTTGCTTTCTGCTTAATCCTCCTCACTGCACAGCTTACCTGCAACCCCRCACTTCCCCCTTAGCCTCAGCTCAACTCACTTGGCTTATTCCTGAATGTTCAGGGTGAGAGCCTGCAATGATTGCTATTTGCTTCCCTATGCTCTGGAATGAATTGGTTTCAGAGGAAATATTCCCCGAGGAAAAATTAAAAATTTAATAATTTGCATGCAGTGCATTTCCTTAGGAATCAGTGCATTCTTTACAACGTTGTTTGCCTGCTGGTCCGGACGGAGCTTCTGGCAGGACCTCAGCTCCACGGAGCCCTGCRGCATCGGATGTGATAATCCCCATTCCCTAAGACCTTAATCTAATATGCTCATTAACTCCCTTACAGAATTTGAGCTTATGGGACAGGAAGGGCTACTGCAAGGTGCAACAGGAGAAAACGGTCAAAGGGAGAATCATTTCCTGGCTGCAGCCCCTTGCTGCAGYGTCGGTATGCAAAATATTCACTGCAAAGCAAGTATGAAAAGCTGAGGTTAAAACAAGCACTGCTGCGTGTATTTCTACCAATTACCTCAATATTCCAGGTTAGAATATAATTGTATCAAATTTTATCTTTTGGGGTGAGTATTCTTTCTTTTCATCATTTTAGAACAAGGGTCCAGTAAGTGCAGGGATGCTGAACATTACCTGTACTTGCTGTACATGGACATTCATAAATCACATGTACCTGTGATCATTATCACAAGCAAACACACAACCAAAAGCACTTCACAGTGGCAGTGTGATATTTTTCCCCCAGAATTAGACATTTCACGTCACAATATGTAACCTCACACATATGTTCGTACATGTGTATGAGCAGCATAGAAAACCAGGACTCCTTCCCAGCTACATTTCTGAAGCACAAAGGCTGCTCTGACCACAAGGGCTCCTGCAAGAAGTTCTCACTGCACAGACTACAGTGTGTGCCAAGGTGAAAAAAAAAAGCCTCAGAGCTCCCGTTTTAACTGCATTTGCCTATTAGTTATTAATCTGCTTGTCCAGAAAGACAGGTGGGGAAAATGATGTATTAATACTAATCTGGCAGGATTACACTGGAATTATTAGAGCTGGATGACGTCTTAATAAAAGGTCATTTCAATAATAAGGAGGGGGAGGGAGGAAAAAATCCTGCAACGCAAATAAATGCAGAGAGGCTGGATTAAGCTTTCCTGGTGCAATGATGAGGGGAATATGCAAATAAAAACATCTGAGCTGCTCTAAAACAGGAAATGAAAAACTGTAACATAACAAAAACATTTCCCAGAGCAGACATTCAGGCCCGCTGCCAGCTCTTTAAAAACACTGTTAATAATGGTGCAGTAGCTGTTCAATATGGAAGCAGCTGGGAAGGGAACGAATGGCGTGTTACAGGAAAGCATGAAGATCAGCAAATTATTATTATTTGAAGAGCGAAATAATTTTGCTCACAAAAAAAATGCTGTCCACAGAAGCAAAAAAATCAAATGTCTCTTTTATATTTGCAGCTTGTTACTCATTAGTGACTATAGGTAGCACTTCAGCAGGATTGCTGGGCCAGCAAGACAAATATTTACGTCTTTAGACAAGTAAATAGGCATCTAATGAGATTTTCAAAGGCACTTCATTTTTGGGGAGCCAGGACATCTGCACCTCGAGGACTTCTCTCCATAGCTGACAATAGCTTTGGGAATGAGCTGAACTCCACAAAAACCCAAACCCTCTTCTCAGGGAGTAAGGAGGCCATCCACGTGCAGCAGCTATGGCATCCACAACCCCCCACCCTAACTTAGCTCAGTCTGCAAAATCCACTTTTTGTAACAAAAAAAAAAAGTCTGAAACGTCCTGTCTTTTACCTACTAATATCAACATGCTCTCAAGAGGACAGGAAGAGCTTCCATGTAACCAAGGTGGAATTTTATGTTTGGGATCACACAGATCCTAGATCTTTTTTTGGATCTGGGCTTAACGTTGCATGACAGCCTTCCAACAAATGCTGCTCTGGGGAAAGCAATATTTCAATAATTTTTCCTGACTTCAATTTCTCTACATGCTTTAAGGAGACATAGTTAGACTATAAAAATTGTTGGGGAAAAAGATAAAGTCTAGAGAAGTTAGCAACAAAAGCAGATGCTGCAGGAAACACAACATTTCCAGTTTCTCAGCTCACTTTTGTTCCACAGTCTCAACGAGATTAACAATTAAGTGATATGAACATTACTTCAGAAAAAAAATGTTACATGATTCAGATAACATAAAAGCGACTGGTACTGTTTCTCATAGAAATGTTAGGTATTAACCTATTCCTATTCCTCTTAAGGAAATATCTGCTTTCCTGAGGAGTCCTTGTGGGACCTGCCAGGCAGCACTGGTAATGTCCCCCAAGAATAAGGTATTTGTGAAGCATGAGAACAGAGAGGGACTTCAAGTATTTTGTGTCTTAYGATAGCATCTGCTTCCAGACCACCTTGTCTCAGAGAGGCATCCAGCTGCTCCAGACACTGAAGGAAATTTTGTGCTCTTAACATAAATAAATAAATAAATAGGTCTCTTCCATTTAGGAATGTGGCCGAGACCTTGAGGTCAAGCAGTGAATGATGTCACGTTAAATGAGCTCACACCCCGTGTGACACAGACAGCCCTTTCAGGATAACTTTTTTTTTCCTTTTTTATTTATTACAGCCCTGACCTTTTGGATTCATCCTCCCCATCCACTCGGGCGGGCGGCAGCAGCAAGCGGCGAGTCCGCTGCTGGCCGCAGCCCTTCTCTTACCTGCAGTAACAACCTCTCATCCCCAATGACGGCGGCCTGGTTCCAGTCGATCACCTCRGAGAAGGGCAGCTCCCAGCCGTTGCTGAGCATCACGGGGACGCAGGCGGCCTGCACACAGAGCCGGGTTAGAGGAGGCCSAGCCGGGTTAGAGGCCGGGCCGGGTTAGAGGCCAGGCCRGGCGTGCAGCCCAGCGCTGCTGCCCACACCGAGGTCCACGCCAGGGCAATTCCTGTCACTTTCTGGAGCACTTCTGACCCAGCTCTCACGGAAAGCAATCACAAAGAAAGACCACGTGGCAAAGGACACCAGGGGCTGGAGTCAACAGCAGGGCAGGGCAGGTTTTTAGGGCTTTCCTTTCTGTGCTTGCTCTTATTCACCGCCAAGGTAGGTTTTGCAGGCAACCAAAAGCCTGTGCTTATGCTGATGGACTCGGATAGAACCGGTGAAGTTCTATAAATATAACATTGGAGGATTTAATAAAAAATGATGGCCTTTCTCGCTGCTTTGTGAACCATTCAGCAGGGAGCTAATTCCCTCAATTTTACAATATGCTGTAAGACAACGCTATAGCAAATGTATGTCAGACTTAATTCTAGAGCATTTTTTTCTTCTGCAAGGCAAGTGAGAAGTTCCTAACCCATTTGATAGCACTTCTCCAATTGGAAGTAACTGTAAAACTTGCCTGTCATCATTGGAAATGTGTCTACAAAAAATAATTGCTTTCTGTTAAACACACAAAAAGCATGTACTTTTAGCACGCTYTTCCCAACCGCACAATTCATCTAATTTATCTCCTCTTCTACACGCTGTGCAAGTTCCTCTGCACAGAGGGCAAGCTAGTGAACGTTCACTAAATAGTTTGCTATTTCTGTGATTGCTCCCATATCTGGTCAGCTGGATCTAAACACAGGATCCAGACTGAGAGTCTGTTGAAGACAGACTCTGCTCCATTACCAGAAGACTAGTATCAAGCCTGTGCTCTGGTTCAATTTCTTTTGGGCCAAACCAAGCCTAAGTGCCCTGAGTCTCATCCACACTGGGGTCCAAAGGATGGAATAAAGAGGAACTTTTGGACTGCTGTGCAGGCCTTGGTAACGTGTATTGCACGCAGGATCTTACACTASTCAGGCCTCTGTATGAAAGCAGTGCCTTTAATGTGTAAAGAACTGTGATTTCTGTAAAGAAATTACATTAGTGCATGAAAAGCCAACGAGAAAACATTCAGCAACGTCGTTCCATGTTTAAAAGATTCTGCTAACGTGAATTATGACTCTCAGCACATCCAAGCAGAGAGAGAAATCTGGAATTCATCCTAATCGGTGCAGACTGCTGCTAGTCTTATAGGGTCACCCAGCACCCCTGCATTTTGCCACCACCATTAGGAAGCCCTCCAAGTTCTGCACAGTGATGCACCCACCACTGCTTTCTTCTCCTGAGGCCATGTACCTGATGGAAACTGTGTGACCCGCACTGATCGTGGGCCCAGMCAAGAAAAGAGGAGATCAGCGAGTGCTTTCTAGAGGATCTCAAGTTACTCATCATCCCCATGAACTCTGTCCTACTGCTTCCTCCGAAGGCGCTGGAGAAGACATTGCACTTCGCAGGCCATTAATCTTCTCCTGCGCAGGACAGTCCAGAATTTGGATCTCCACTATGATAGTAGGGGTGGGATTCAGTGGCCCAACACAAGCACCTGGTGCCATTTGGGATTTTCTAGGGAACATCTCCGCTGGTGGCAGTCAGTGGAGACTGGTGGCAGAGACCTGCCCCGCACGCTGCCAAGCTTCACTCCATGGGCACTCAGRAGCCGCTTTGCTCTGACCTCTCCTGCTGCCCAAAAGCAACAAAGGGAGAGCCACCAACTGAAATAGCTTTAAATTGTGAAGGAGATCCTGTGTGCTGCCCTTGAATACAGCTCCAGAACACCACAAGCCACCCAAGACCACCCYACATCAACCTCCTGCTTCATGCCATGCTTGAAGTTGGGGTGCTGAAGCCCCAGGCCGCTCTGCACCGTCAGCGTGCAGCATCACACGGCGGGCAGTGCACAGGCAGATCCAGTTTGGCTTTGTGAAAACAAAAAGCCATTTTTAGTGCCATGGGGTTTCCTTGGAGGGGTCGGCGCCTCCCATGGGAGGCCTTCCAACTTGACAACACAGTGCTGGGGCCCAGGCCAGCCTCAAGGCCCTGSGGGAAGCAGGAAACCCTCTTCCTGGAGGTACCACAATTTGGCATCCGGAGGAGCTGAGCCCCTCCTGGGAAAAAGCTGCCAATTGCTCCACACACATGAACAGGGGCCTGCGCAAAGTGGATTAGGGCCGGGGAGGGAAATGAAGCTCCCTTCCCTCCTGCCCCCTCTCAGCGCCCGCTGCGGAGCCGCAGACCCGCCTCTTACCTGCAAGGCTTCCAGAAACCTGAAGGAGCCCAGCCGGCGGCCACGGGGAACCAGACAGAAAGTGGCATTGTGCAGCATTTCACGGTAATCATACCTAACAAGGACAGGGGAGAAAAGGGAAGGTTCAGTTAGCGGGGAGCCCTGGGGYAACCGCGCGGGAAAACGCCAGCAGCCGCGAGGCACATCTGGGTGAAATCAGCTCCGACGAGGCCGCTCGGCACCAGGCTAAGGAGCTGCGTGTGCACGGGCACACGCGGGGCTGCCCTTTCTCCTGCTCCTTTTTGTTCATCCTGAGGAGCAACCGGTGTGGGGAAAAAACAGCTGTAGAAAGCAGCCACAAGACGGAATGAAAATAGTGATTTTGCCTGAGTGATAATCACTCTTTTCTGTATAAGTAGGTGAGCGCGAGCGCACGACAATAAACTTACATTAAATCTTTTTATATCCCAAGTGCTGTCAAGGGTAATTCTGTGAAGCCGCCTGCTATTCAGATTTAGGCAACTGCACAACTGTGCTCATTCCTGCCCCAGAGGTTTGTAAAGAGCACACAAACACTCCAACCTCGCCACGCAAAGCTCTGCTTATCAAGCAGGCATTAAGGAAGGGGGTGGAGGTTCCCTGCATCTCCCTCGGGATTGCGGCGAGAGGAACGGGGATAAACTGTTTTGGCAGCCAAACTTTGGCAATTAACCCGGCAGCGGCACCGACCCCTGCTCCTTGGAGCCCAACCTTCCCACCAGATGCTCCTGGGGTTTTGCTGGTGCCATCAGTCACTTCCAAAYCGTTCACCAAGAACACGCATCAAGCACCAACAGTTTCAAGGCAGTTAGTAGCTTATGAGCAGCTATTGTAGAGCGGGGGAACCTCTGGGCCTGCAAACGGCACCGACTCCCCCAGCCGGCGCCCCCAAGGACAAAAGCATCGAGATTAAATATCCCTCTTTGCTGAAGCTGCTTGGGCTCTGAAGACAGACGTTATTTTGACAGTAACTTGTGGCACTGAAATTTTCTAACACTAATAATCTTCCTTAATCATAGCTGGCAGGCCSGGTGAATTTCTCGTGTATGTGGGTACATGTATATACATGTATATGATTACGTTTTGTATATGACAAAGTCCAGAGCCACATTTATAATCTCTCACAGGCCAGACAGATGGGAGTAAGCCAATTTTCAATTATAAGCGCCGTCTTTAGGCAACGACATCTTGCAAAGGCCCATTTGCTTAAACAAGCGTGTATAGCTAATTTGCACAAGAAAAGGTCACTGTGAATGGATTAAGATTATCTCCACTGAGAGTAAAATGAAAACCCGCGTTGCATTAATTAAAACTACAAAACAGACTTCAAAGTAGGCTCCTTTAAAAATCAGCTCTCAACTCTGGCTAAATAAAATATATATATTCCATATGTGCAGCAGCCATTTCTTTCTCCCTATTGATGCACAAGGACGTCGTGGCTCCAGAGCCCACGGTGACCCGGCACGCGGCGGGAAAAGGTCCGGGAGCGGGAACATGGGAAAAGGAGGTCGCCGCTTGTAAAGCCGCCCTTCCTTCCCACACGGAGAGGTCTCAGCCCCATCGCGTTCCCTGCATACTGTTCGACAGCAGATTTTAATAAATACCAGGAATAGAATACCCCGAAGGGCTCAGAAATCCCCMGTCATTAGCTTGCTAAAAATGTAAAATCCTGTTAATGCCCTYGAAGGCCACAAACTGCCCACAAAGCGTGAGAGAGACCGGGACTGAGGCGAGCGGCAGCGAGACCCCCACATGCCGCCCGCCTCTTACACTGGCACCTCTTCTCTCACATCTGATTCACTGGCATTAGGGTAGTTTTTCAAAGGAAAAGAGGATTGTGTTGACCAATGCCCACCTGAAAACTAGTTAGCGCCTCGCTCCCATGTGTGCTCTTTAAAGCTGGCCCTGTGATTTATTGCTTGGCTCAGGAATCGCATGGTCCACGGTCATCCAGCAATTTATCTACATCACAGGCGCGCAGAGAGCCGCATTGTGGCCTTGATGCAGGGGCACAGAATTGCACAGGGCAGAAGGAGCCCCCAGCTATAACAGGCCCAGAACCAGAGCAGAGCAATATCCACCACGGGCTTCCAGCAACACTTCATGAACTGCACCAGAGACGCTTTCCACGAGCAAATTTCACTGCAGCAACAACTTATATGTTTTAAGGCAGCTCAACACCAGCTCTGAGTGCAGCGCTGAAGGAGTCATTTTGAATTTAATCCCCTGCAGGTAACGCTCTGCGATTAATCATCTTTCTTCCTTTGAAACCCTTCAGCACAATGCTCTCATTTTACTTCTGCTAGTTCCTAGGTAGTAGGGAGAGCAACGTGGGTGACGCTGATTTAACCAAGAGATAGAACCTAGCCCCGCATTTAGATAGAACCTTAGGCCGCATTTATGGTGGAAATGTTTTATATGAACAGAGTAATACTCTACAGTAGCCTTTTGCAGAGACCTTTCATGTTTTCTGCATGTCATCATGCACCATTTGGAAGACACACTGGCCACCACAGCCTCCTACTGCAAAGCCCTTTGCAAACACAGCTCCTGCACGGAATACGGGTTTGATTCCTGGCTGTCCGAAGGAGACCTCTGGGAGGCAGTGGAGCGTCATAACCCCCCTCCCCGCTGGCCCCGGTGGCTAATGCAACAGAGGAAAACGGCCAAGCCCTTAGGAGAGGTTCTTCTTGCTCTTCCTTCTCCCTTTCCAGCCCTGGAAGTGGGCAGATCTATCTAACATCGAGCGTCACAGGGAGAGCTAGCTGCTCACAGTGTAGTTGGCATCATGGGGCCCGAATGACCTGCGTCTCCTGCGGCTCCGTTCCCAGCCCTGGAGGCCGCTGGAAACCACAGCACAGACGGAACCTGAGGCTCCCGTCCCTCCACATGGAGCGCCGGGGAGGGTTATTAACTTCCAGGCTTCCTTCCATAATGATTAAGTGCCCCATGCACGCAGCTAATACCTTTTCAGGTAGCACAAACAAATAGCTCTATTTGTAATCAATTCTAATTTATTCACACTTTAATTGAAATATCCCCTCCCTGCTACCACCCATAGCTGAGAAAACACTGTGCATCCCCATCTATCATGCAGGTGTAAACACTAAAACGCTGTGTGGGCAATTACCAGAAGAAGAAATGCTGTTCAGCAAAATGCTCTTACAATTTTAACTCCTTGATCCTGCACATTGCTTCTGTCGGCCCCCTTCTTTTCTTTCTTTTTCCTGCTCTTTTTCCTTTTTTTGATGTGCCGACCTTGTCAATCAGCCGCGGGATTAGGCAGCTGCTTGGAATTCCTGCTCCTCCGTTATCCTCAGGAGCCTGGGCGGCTGTGGAGGCTCTGCAGCAACTAATCAGCCATGCCAAACATTCCTGCTTACAGCTTAAGCACTTCCCCATGTCACTACACTTAAGAGATTATGAACTACCCTGGGAAACAATTTCACTACTGATTTTTTTGATATAAACTTCATTTTTTTCCCCAATCGCCACCCACACCTCATTGAAAAGAGGTCCCAGGAAGAGGCCATGCTGTTTGAGAGCARCACGTGTGTCCAGCTACTCACAACTGTACTTTATCCAGATGGATGCCACCTGTCACGTCAAAACCATAAAGCAATGTCCGTATTTGCTTAGGTGACTCTTAGGTACAGGCTCCCACCACCTTCTCCCCTTTCCAGATGGAGACCCGGAGACAGAGAGGGCTGGTTGGGCTGGCTGTTCCTCAGGTAGTGAGGAACATGCTCTAAGTGTGCCTGCTTGAGCAGGAAGGTTGGACTAGATGATCTGTAGAGGTCCCTTCCAACCTTAAATATTCTGAAATATTCTGAAATATTCTAAAAACACCTGGGAAGCCCCAGCGCCCTGTCCTGCCTCCCATAAAACTCCATAAACTGCACTCTGCTAAGCAGCCAAACTTCAYCTCCATCAAAATTCACATGGAAATACAGGAGCAGAACAAATAAGATGGATTTAGCCCAGCAGGGYGTATTTTAGGAGCGTCACACATAATCAATCTTCTGGAAGACGCTGGAGCTCATCCTTGGCAGGGAGCATGGGCACATACCACTGTGGATGTCAGATGGGACGAGAGCTGTTTTTCTTTCCCAAGCCAAAAATTGCAGTGGCACGAGACCAAATATGTCCAGGGCTGCGCACCGAATCTGCAAGTCCATGACCTCGCACTGCTTCTTCCCGAAGTATCTGCATCACTCCACATGCTACAGYTACAACACTACACATACATTATATTGCAAGGCTAAAAGGCAGAGCCTTTCCTAGTTTTCCAGTATATTAAGTGTCAGCTATTAACCAACCGGCCAGTTTTGCACGTATGAATTCCTAATACAGACGGCTCTGAACTACAGGCTGGAGAGGCTGAGAAGAAACCCGTGTGGTCACACGGAGTGCCTCACTGCTGGGTTTCCATTAAGGTATCTTGGCTTTTAAATAACCCATCAAATACAACTTGGCACTGAAGCCTTTCCTGTCAGCTCGGCGGTGCCTCGGGCAGGGGCTGCCCAGAGCCGAGGTCCACGGATCCAGCATCCACCCGGGAAGGGGCCGACACCATGGACCACTTGCCGTGCGCCTTGCTGCTTGCTCAGAGGCTGGCTGCCCTTCTCCCTCCCTCTCCACACGTGTTGGCTCTGGAATTAGAAAGTTTGGAGGTGCAAAAACATAATTGGAAAACTTTTTTTTTTTTCTTTTTCCCCTCCTGCTTAAAGGGCTAATTGATTTCACAGGTGTTTAATTATCATTTGCTGTGAGATAATACCTTGTAGTGCCATAAAAAATGGATTTAATTTTCGAGTGCTTGCAAAACCACTGCCAAAGCCAAGTTAGAGCTAAGCTAGATAATTATTCTATAAATCAAACACACTGCCTCCTTTCTTTGAAATTTTTAATACTTGGCTATAATGATATCTGACGACCTTGAAACTCACATAAAAGGGATTTTCTTGCCAAGCGCTGAAAGGCAGTGGATGGAGCACTGCATTCAGCTCGGTCCATGCCGGCAAAGTCCCCGCTCCACGTCCAGACGCCGCCGAGGGGCAAGGACAGCGGGTGCCC